ACAGGAAGTACAAAAGTTTTGAAGGATATTAAGGATTGGATATGTGAGCCACTTGCTACTATTTGTTCATAACTCCTTGAATAGTGGGCAGGTACCAGAGGATTGGATACGTGAGCCACTTGCTACTATTTGTTCATAACTCCTTGAATAGTGGGCAGGTACCAGAGGACTGGATACGTGAGCCACTTGCTACTATTTGTTCATAACTCCTTGAATAGTGGGCAGGTACCAGAGGATTGGAAGTTAGATAACGTCATTCCTTTTTTCAAGGGAAGTAATAAAAATTATCCCAGTAATTATAGGCCTAGTTATAGGGAAGGGTTTTGGAAAGTCTGATAAAAGATGCTTTGCTAAATCATTTATCTAAATTTAAAACTTTGCTGTGCCATTTGGGGGGGGGGGGGGCTATTTTAATGGGAATAACCTTAACAGTGTCAAGAAAGAAAGGGATCTTGTATAATAGTTGATCAGTCTCTTAAGCCATTCAAGCAGTGTGCTGTTGCTAGTAGTAGGGCAAATAGGATTTTAGGTTGTATGTATAGAAATATTGAATACAAGTCTAAAGAGGTTATAATTTAATTGTATAGAACACCTGAGTAACAAGGGCAACATGCCCCAACAAACTCCAGCAACAGACCAACCAACTATGAAGTGATAAGGCCAAGGAAGATAAACATGCCATTATAGAGTAAAACAAGTGAACAAGCACCTGCCAAAACACTCTTAAGGGAATTGTGGATTATCACAGAAAGAAAGTGAATGGAAGTAAAGTAACAGAAAAGGGTAGAGTGTAAAATGAGGGTGGAAAAACTGCAAGCTAAGAAAGATGAACAAAAGACAGAGGATATGACCTCCAAATCTAAAGAAAAGACGCCACAGTTAAGAAGTGGAAGAAATTCAATACAGCAGAGTCATGCCTAGACATATGAGGGAACAAAGGAAGGAGGAGAAGATATGCATGCACCAAAGGTAATGGTAAAAGTAATTGAATATGGACTTGCATATTTGGATAGGAAGTAAAACACGTAAAATGAATTACAAAGAGAGGGAAAGAAACATACTTGATAAACTCAGTCCCAAAATTACGAAAAAGGCTTAGGTAAATTCAAGACAGCATAGGTATAAGAATAGGGAAATATAAGTGGTTGAAAAAAAAAGAAGGCAAAATCCTTTCTGTCAGAAATGAGAAACATAGGCAGAGGTATGTCACATACAAAAGGAGGCCTAGGCACATGATAGATTCCACTACCTGCTGCACAAAAGATGTCACTTTTCCCAAGAAACAAAGCTAAATCTGATACCAATGTAGCATGAACCAGACAATGTGGAAGTTACTGAAATTTATGAAGTAATTATGTGGAAAAAAAAGGCCACAGTATCTGCAGGTGTAGAAAAGCAAAAATCCAAAAATAAATACTTCCACAAAAGGTAATGTTTTAGTAGGTAGTTCCATGCTCATATCTTAAAAGTTCACCAGCATACGAAAAAAGACAAGTTGTTACACACGAGTGCTAAATTGAGAAGTGTTGGTTGTACAATCAGGATAGAGGAAGTCAACTGTGCTAGGAGGACGGGCCGTACTCCGACAGATGGAGAGTTATTGCATGCTACACTGCAGCACATGGGAAACATGCGAGTTTAGGTGGAAGTCTCAAGGCTAGTGGTGGTTGAAGAATTGCACATACAGAATGCAGCAAAAAATCAAGCACAGTTATTATGTGTGGAGAGATAAGGTATTGGAAAAAATAATAAGTAGTTTTTATACACTAATCACCTATAGCATTTAAACATTGGTGTATGTCTGTTTGAGTAACTTTTTTGTTTTACGAAATATTTTTATTCAACATCTGTTCCATTATATTCTGTTCAAATCTTAACAGTTTCTAAAGAACCTCTTTCTATACATAGCTATACCACCTCTAGAAAATATGTTTGTTTTAACACAAGGCTACACAATGAGCCATCTAGGCTCTGTCTATTGCAGGGATCTGAACCCCAGATTTTAGGACTGTAAGCCTGTAAACTTACTACTGACAAATCAGGGTACTATATGATATGAAAATATATTTAGACAAATTTCCTAATACTAATTTGAATAAAGACTTAATATTTATCAACTTATGGTGGGCTTTCTTGTGTTATTTGCCTAATGCTTTATACAAAAAAAATTGACTTTTAAATTTTTTTGTTTTGTCAAATATATTTGATTATAACTTCTTTATCACTTTGACTTGGATCATCGAGCCACTATGAAATGTGCTTTCAAATAGTCTTCACATTTAAGTAAATGGTTTTTCCTAATTAATATGATGTGAAACTTAATTTGTTTGATGAATCCATAAACAAATAATTCCACTATTTACGTTTATACTTATTTTCTAAGTCATGTACTTGGCAAGATATCAAAGTACGTGTACATTATCTATATCAAAAACAGACTTTGAAACATAAGGTAAAAAAGTTAAGTTTTAGTCAGATATTCCATATATCTAAAACTTAAATCCTAAGTGTGTACTTCTGATTTGTTTTGAGAAAACACATCTTTAGCAAAGTAAAAATGATATTCACCTTTCATCTCAAATAACATTGTTCCCATCATATGTTCCAACTCAGCCTCTATGTTGCACAGTATGTCACTGCACTCTCTATAACCTGAGTGAACACTGTGTAAAGCAGATTCTTTTGTCTTTCCTTGTGACATAACATAAGCATAGGCCATTGTACAAACTCCTACAAAAAACATAAGCCTTTGTATTTCAAGCACACAGAAACGTGCCAGTAGATTGCTACACTTATACATAACAAGTGATTACTACCATACATGTAAGACTAGTGTTTACGTTTGAGAACTGATAACATAAAAACTTCTTCTTCTGTTTGTTGTAAAACTGTAAAGCTACTAGTAGAAACTCGATGGTTTGGCCAAAAACAAACTATTTATTCCTGTTCACTTTGTTTCAGAATTTTATGCAAAGCCACACAGAAACATACCTAATTTTGAACTTATAGTCTACAGAAAAAAAAAGTTGGTTAACAGCACCCACCATTAACTCTTGGGCTTTGCTTATCTGATCGATTAGTGGGATTGACTGTCATTCTTGTAGTGTACCCAAAGCATAAGGTAACTAATTTTTTAAACCCAAACCTGGGTAAATTTGTAAACTGATCTGCATCAATAGTAGATTGTAGAAGCTTGCTGTGTCATATTTCTCTGATGAGTGTACCTGTTTTACTATTTCACTGTTCTAAAAACACAACAGGAAAATGTTCTATGACATAGTTAAGAATGTTGCTATGGTGACTGCACCAATGCCATAACTTGATGATGCTATACCCAAGTTAATAATAATACTAATAAAAATGGCTGAATGTTTATTTCTAAACTCTTCAGACTTCATAATAAATACAAGATATGAAGTGTAAGGGGTATTTTGAAGGTTATTTTTTAGAAATGGGAACACTTTTAAGGACATCTATCTCCCAGGGACAACACCCATCATCGAGAGCCATTATCTGGAAAATGGGGGGCCTATGGTTATCCTTCACTAGCTTTAAGCATTGTGTGAGTTTTTACAGCAACAGGTTATGAACATGAACTGTCTGATTCACAGTCTGGGCATTCTGAGCGAGTTTTTACAGCAACAGGTTATGATCATGAACTGTCTGATTCACAGTCTGGGCGAATCAGTTTTTACAGCAACAGGTTATGGTCATGAACTGTCTGATTCACAGTCTGGGCATTCTGAGTCAGTTTTTATAGCAACAGGTTATGAACATGAACTGTCTGATTTAAAGTCTGGACATTCTGAGTGAGCTTTTACAGCAACAGGTTATGAACTGCCTGATTCACAGTCTGGGCATTCTGAGTCAGTTTTTACAGCAACAGGGTATGATCATGAACTGTCTGATTCACAGTCTGGGCATTCTGAGTCAGTTTTTACAGCAACAGGTTATGATCATGAACTGTCTGATTCACAGTCTGGGCATTCTGAGTCAGTTTTTACAGCAAAAGGTTATGAACATGAACTGTCTGATTTCACAGTCTGGGCATTCTGAGTGAGCTTTTACAGCAACAGGTTATGAACTGTCTGATTCACAGTCTGGGCATTCTAAGTCAGTTTTTACAGCAACAGGTTATGATCATGAATTGTCTGATTCACAGGCTGGGCGAATCAGTTTTTACAGCAACAGATTATGGTCATGAACTGTCTGATTCACAGTCTGGGTGAGTCAGTTTTTACAGCAACAGGTTATGATCATGAATTGTCTGATTCACAGTCTGGGTGAGTCAGTTTTTACAGCTAACAGGTTATGAACATGAACTGTCTGATTCACAGTCTGGGCATTCTGAGTCAGTTTTTACAGCAAAAGGTTATGAACATGAACTGTCTGATTTACAGTCTGGACATTCTGAGTGAGCTTTTACAGCAACAGGTTATGAACTGCCTGATTTACAGTCTGGACATTCTGAGTGAGCTTTTACAGCAACAGGTTATGAACTGCCTGATTCACAGTCTGG